AGAGAGAGAGAGAGAGAGAGAGAGAGAGAGACTGTTTTTCTGTGTATTATGTATACATGTATCTTTTTTTTTCACATTCAAATTTTTGTTTTTGTTTTGTTTTGTTTTTTCTTTATGTAGAAACGTTTTCCGTTTTCCGTTTTCCGTTTTCCGTTTTCCGTTTTCCGTTTTCCGGTGTTGTTGCTTTATTGGATTTTGTTCAGGGTTGTTTTATCTTTGCTGGATCAATTTCTATTTGGATTCAGGGATGAGGTGTTGCTGAAAATGATAGAAGATAGACAGAGGGATGGAAGACAGAACGGGCTGCGATGGAGAGTAGAAAGACGATGGAAAACGTAAGGCAGCAAAGAAATGTGAGGCAGCGTGGTGGAATCAGGCTCTCGTCAATTATTTGGGCATGTACAGTTATTGGTATCATCTTAAAGCTTGTTCACTTGTCTTTGTTTGGGTGAAAAAAATGTCAATTTATCTTGAATACAAGTCGAGATATTTGCGAAAGAAGGAGGTAGAGGTCACCTGTTTTCAGAGGTAAAATTAGTGAGAAAATGGCCGCCAAAGATTAGTTATTTCCTTAGCTTAATAGTATGTGGTTACTGAAAATTTACATTTTTTGTGCTTTTAATCAACGTTTTTCAGAATAATTCACTTAGAAATGAGTTTTTTAATGTTCTTGAAAGGTGTTGAGCCAAAAAAACAAAAATTTGATAAAAATTCATAAACCTGCGGAAAAATGCAAGTTTCTTCACTTTCATTATTTTGACGAGAGCCTGATTCCACCACGCTGCCTCACAAATGGCGAAAATGTGAAAGGAAAAAAAAAAGAGGATAAAACTAAAACAAAAATTAGATGGGGAAAAAAAGGATAAAATAAAGATAAAAACAAATATGTGAAAAAAAGGGGGACAAAAACGATGTGAAACTGTGATGTGTCAGAGCTTAATAAACAAGCTTTCTTCCTTAATGTTTACAACAGAAGATTGAATTTGTCAAGCTTTCCATGTTTGTCTGGCTGACGATTGTGTTTTCGGGGGCAGAAATGGAAATAGCTTTCATCTGCTTTGCACGCGTTTGCGAGCGCGCGCGTATGTGTGTG